CTTACAGGTTTAAGAGAGACATGCAAAAATAACTATAATGAAAGGCAGACTGGAACAATCATTATAGCACAGAACAAATCATAAGAAGAGAGGACACCAATTCCAACTGGAATCAGAAGATTCATGGAGGAAGTGGCATTTGAACTAAGTTTTAAAGAGCAGATCAGAATGTATTTATTTTTACTTTTTTAATTGACCAGAGAAGAATTTTGATGAGTCTTAGGAAAGTAGGAAGCAAGGAGCTGCTGAAGGATTCACAAGAGTGAAATCACTGAGAGGTCAAAGGGTAGAATGCAGTAGAAAAATATGGAGTGGGCACTACAACACGCTCTGTCCTTTTCACTTCAAAGAGTGTGTTCTTTCCCTATAACTTATTGACCTCAAATCTGATCATGTTTTGATGAGTAGTAATTATTTCCATGAAAGGGACGAAGCTAACAACTTAAATATTTTAGCAAAGAAGTAAAGGTATAATAGTTGCCACCATTATATGTAGTCTCTATTCTAAGCATATGACTAGAAGTGGCAAGTTACAGAAAGAATTTTTACATCTCAAACCCATCAGATGTAAAATTATTTTTAAAAGAAAAATGTCATACCCTAAAAGCTACCTTCATGAACCCATAGGGGCCTTCCAATTCCAGTCTGAGAAACACTTATCATACGAAAATGCGTTCTAGGTAATCACATTTGCAAGAGCTGCCAAAAAAGGAAATTGCAGATGACACAAACAAATGGAAAAACATCCCATGCTCATGGATCAGAAGAATGAATATCTTTGAAATGACCAGATTGCCCAAAGCAATCTATAGATTTTATACAATCCCTATCAAAATACCAGTTTCACAGAATTAGAAAAAAAAATCCTCAAATTCATATGTAACCAAAAAAGAACCTGAGTATCCCAGGCAATCCTGAGCAAAAAGAACGAACCTGGAGGCATCACATTACTTGACCTCAAATTATACTACAAGGCTATAGTAATGAAAATAGCATGGTACTGGTATAAAAATAGACACATGGATCAAGGCAACAGAATAGAGAACTTAGAAATAAAGCCACCTATCTACAGCCAACCGATATCTGATGAAGTTGACAAGAACATACACTGGGGAAAGGACACCCTTTTCAGTAAATGGTGCTGCCAAATTTGGATTGCCATATACAGCAGAATATAAACGGGATCCCTATCTATCACTATATCTTGAGTTGATTTTTATGTAAAGACTTAAGGGCAAGACCTGAAACTATACAAGTCCTAGATGTGAACTTAGGCAAAATTCTTCTGGACATTGGTCTAGGTAAAGAATTCATGACTGAGACCTCAAAAGTACAAGCAACAAAAACAAAAATAGATAAATGGGACTTAACAAATGAAAAAGCTCCACAAAGCAAAATAAATACTCAACAGAGTGAACAGACAACCTACAGAATAGGAGAAAATATTGGCAAATTATGCATCCAAACAAGGACTAATATCCAGAATTGACAATGAACTCAAACCACTCAACAACAAAAAACGAAATAACCCCATTAAAAAGTGGGCAAAGGGCCGGGTGCAGTGGCTCATGCCTGTCATCTCAGCACTTTGAGAGGCAGAGGCAGATGGGTCACGAGGTCAGGAGATCAAGACCATCCTGGCTAACACGGTGAAACTCCATCTCTACTAAAAATACAAAAAATTAGCTGAGTGTGACGGCACAAACCTATAGTTTCAGCTACCTGGGAGGCTGAGACAGGAGAATCACTTGAACCTGGGAGGTGGAGGTTGCAGTGAATGTAGATCATGCCACTGCATTCCATCTTGGGCGACATAGCAAGACTCTGTCTTAAAAAAAAAAAAAGGTGGGGAGGCAAAGTACATGAACAGACATTTTTCAAAAGAAGACACACAAATGGCTAACGAGCATATGTAAAAATGCTTAGCATCACTAATCATCAGAGAAGGGCAAACTGAAACCACTATGAGATGTCACCTAACACTAGTCAAGGTAGCCATTATTCAAAAGATTAAAAAATAACAGACGTTGGTGAGGACACAGAGAAAAGGGAATGCTTATATATATTGGTAGAAACGTAAATTAGTAAAACCTCTGTGGAAAATAGTATGGAGATTTGTCAAAGAAGTAAAAATAGATCTACCATTTGATCCAGCAATCCCGCTACTGGGTATCTACCCAAAGGAAAGTAAATTGCTACATCAAAAAGATATCTGCACTTGTATGTTTATCACAGCCCTATTCACAACAGCAAAGACATGGAATGAATGTACGTATCCCTCAATGGAAGATTAGAAAATGTGGTGTACACACACACAATGGAATACTGTTAAACCATAAAAAAGAATGAAATCAGGTTTTTTGCAGCAACGTGGATGGAACCAGAAGCCATAATCTTAAGTGAAATAATACAGATACAGAAAGTCAAACACCGCATATTATCACTTAGAAGTGGGAGCCCAATAATGTGGAGACGTGGACATAGAGTGTGGAGTGATAGACACTGGCAACTTGGAAGTGTGGGAGGGGATAAATGATGAGAAATTGCTTAATGAGTATAATGTGCATTATTTGGGGTCATAATAAAAGCCCAGACTTCAGCACTATGCAATATATCCAGGTAACAAAATTGCACTTGTACCATTAAAACTTATACAAAGAAAAAAAAGAAAATGCTTTCTAGTGAATTTTTCACTATAAAAATTTTGTATTTAGATAATTGTAAAAATAAAATTGCAAAATTAAATATATTCTCACAGAACATTTGGATTCTGAATAAAAAGTTCACAGACTACAGCCTGAGAAACACTGGAAAGAATATTAAACTTCTGCTCCTAGTCTGTCATTAATTAGCTGTGTGATTCCTGGGAAACTGCTTAACATCTAGGAACCCAGACCCTGGCCTCCTTTCTGCCTGTCATGTACAAATAATAATGATGGTATGTCATAAGGTTGTAAGGAGACCTGAGTAAGATACACATGAACACTGACAGCAATAACTGGCATTGGCTAAATGCGAAATAAATGTCGGTTATCATCACTGTTGTTGCTGTTTTGAGAGGACTTCTGAGGTCCCTTGTGGCTTTAAATTTCTGCATATTTTGAGTGACTGTCTTCACCAAAAACTAAGTGAATTGGACAGAGACTCCTGAAATTCTACGACTGGAGACAACGCAGCCTGGATAGAAAAACACCGCCTTGGCATTTCCCAAGAAAAGATCAAGTGTTGCAATGGAAGTCTGGCCTCCACTCAGCACGTGCTTTGCAAAATGACCACAAATACATTGGTGATGGTTTGAACCTGATTTTTCTCATTGACAATAAAAGGTATCCAACGGAATAGTACCTAAAGAAGGATCTGAATTCATGACAAACCTTTACCCAAAAATCTATCCAAAGATGGAAAAGGAACATCTTTGAAGAGACTCTTATGTACCAAGATCATGTTGCTTCAACTTTTATATTACCAGAATTTCTCTAACAGTGTCTTGGATCTACAAGATTAAAGGCTACTCTGAAAGCATACTGGATCAGGCACCCATTTCTAGCAAAATACTTCAATTTGCTAGGCCTCAGTTTTCTCAACTGTGGAATGGGTAGAATAGTAATCAACTCGCCACCAAGTGACATGCATCAAATGCTTTGTGGCTTTTGGCTGTAAGAAGCCACAATGAAGTTGGTTACTTATTAAGTACATCATGTGTTCTAATAATAAAGAAGCCCCTGGGGCAATGAAACAAGAGCAGCTTTCCTGTCAAAAGGTTTCTCTGACATTTGCACACAGCTCATGGCTCCTAGCATGTGTTGCTCAGATGCTTATTGATTATTCTCATTACACTTCGCAGACAGGAAGGAACATGTTGGAACACAGAGAATCTGGACTGAAGCTGAAGCTTCATGCTTGCCTTTGATTTACTGCATTTGGAAAACAGATTTCAGACCCCACGTATTTCTTTTTATTCTTTGTCAAACAATTTCACACATGCTAAGGACCAAGGCTTTCTACTGCCCAAGGCTGACGCATATCATACAGTCTATGCTGCTAAGTCTCAGTCTCCTGGACACCCTGATCTGTCTCAAATGCACAGTACCCCCAGATGATAACAAGCAGAGACTGCCAGTGACCAAGCCTACTTCTCTCCACTCTGTAGAAGCACAGCTGCAGTCCCACATGTCCTATCATGCCATCCGCTCTGAAATACACCTCCTCAGCCATTGAATATTGCCTCTGTTCACCAATTAGCACAGTAGCCCTCATGTGTGGGGCAGATGTCAAGGCATCAGGAAAAAAATTCTCCATGCTTTGGTACTTTCCCCATAGATCACTGTGTCTTGGAGATATAATTTCATAAAAACAGGGATGTTAGAATTGTAAGAGATCTCAAAGAAATGATGTAGCATTCCAGTTAGTGAGATGCCATTGTGTCCATTTTACAGATGATGTAACTGGGGCCCAAAGTCTTATAGCTGCTTTGTATCAAAGGGAGGGACTAGCAGCTTCAGTTCTCATGCTTGCATATGCACAGATTCATTTACTTCATTTGGTTGAACTCACAGTAAATCTGATTTTGTTTAATAACAAACCACGTGGCTAAAACGTTCTACACTGTTTTAAATCTGATTTCATTATATCTTTTCTATACAGCTTGGTATAAGCTGTTTCACTACTAAGTTCTTGGACCCTAGAGTGGCAGTCAGTCCCATACAGTTAGCCTTGTGCAGACAGGGCCTATTGAGTGTCCCACAGTGAGCTGGTGTTAAGGGCTAATGATAATGAGCAGTGATTGGGGAGCTGGTAGAATCCTACAGCACCATCCAGCGTCCAGTGTGATTGCCCAGCTTGGAGTGTGCTTGTATTCTGGGAAAGTCTTTTTCCAGTTTTCCTTGATTTTTGTCAAAGTCAAGAAACAGACTAGTCAGCATGCTCAGTAATACACAGGGTCATGAACGTTGGGGAGGAAAACGCCAGGCAAAGTCAATCGCTGTTTTTTCCACACCTACCTTGTGATTCCGCCCATGCTTATCCAACAGGGAGATGATGGACTTGATGTGGCCCTCTGCTATCAGGTTTAAGGCTTCTGGGCTTTCAGTTAAGATGCAGTGCAAAACTTCCAAGATACCTACATGAACGCCACAAACATCATTTGGACATTAAATGCCCTGCAGCAGTGACCATAATTAAGAAACCTGAGTGTGAACAGACTTTCCTGAGGGGACAGGATATCATCAGTTCTTTGACTCTATCAAGAATTTTCAGCCAGAAAAAAATTCATTCATTCCCGGTAGATTTCAGAGTCCCTGGAGGCCAACTGGTCTGTAATTTAGTAGTGATTTTAATTCAGCACTAACCTTATCTCCCTCTACCTGGACAAAGACATGACCTTTGTATGACAAAATATAGAGAAGTAGCTGTAAAACAGCATTTTTCATTTGATCAAACCAAATAATACTTCATTTAAAAATAGATATAAAAGATGTCCAATTTACTACAAATTTTAAAGGTCATTCAAGTAATTTGGAAAATATTCTGAGTTTCTCCCAAATAAGACTTTTTCTAGGAGCCACTCTAGACACTTTTATTTTAGGTCTACTAATGTATCAAATAAACTGAGGGCTCACAAAGTCTATTTGGCTTCTCCCCCTTTGTTGGTGCACTAGATAGGTTATGTAAGTGAAGGCATAAGAAAAACTAGTGCCCCTGCAGCCTGGCGCATACATGGCAACATCATGATGGAAATTCAAGGGAAGCAGTTGGCTAATAGCTTAGTTTTATTAAGAAAATTCCTTTTGATTCTGTTTTTTTTTTCTCAGTGTTTTCATAAATTAGCTTGAAATGTAATCTAGCCCATGAGACTGAGGCACTGCAGAAAAGAGAAGCTTAGGAAGACGTGTGTAGGTGGATGATCCTTGGGGGACCCTCTCCTGGCTGGTCTGTTAAAGCACCTGTCATCTCTAGGCTATGAGAAAAGCAACAAAACCCTTCATCTTTCCCATGAGGGGCCTACATCTGCCATGTTTACTCATCTCGGAGAAAGCAAACTGCTGAGCCCTGCAGCATGGTCACTTACCAATGATGACCACACTCTTGGCTCAGATTCTCCCTAAGTCATTAGAAAGGACTATAGATACAACGTGAAGGGTGAGTCAGGGGAGAGGGGTGAGCGGGGATTTTTCCTTTCATTCCTGTCATTCTTCACCCCTGCTTTTAGAACTGTAAGAAATAGTTTGGGCAATATTGAAAAGCGTTAAAAAATCCACAGAATAAGAATGTAATGGGAGTCAGAAGGAGAAAAGGATCACTGGGTGGAGGGGGTGGGGATTAATGGAGCTAAGGAATAAAAATGAAGGCACAGAGTAAAAAAATTAAACAAAAAAGGAAGGATTGTTGAAGTCTGGGTTGGAGTTGTTACATAAAGTCACATGGGTGCCAGGGAACTTTAAGACAATTTCTCTTATTTTTAAGTAATGATTTGAGGATTGTTTGCAATCCACTGGAAAAGATTCAACTTTGTTTTCTTTTTTACAGAAAGAAAAAAAAAAAAACCCTTCATCTTTTCTAGCTACAGTTTCCTGTCAATTCTTACCTGAGGAAGATTCTAGTCTGTCCAATTTACTGATGAGCCAATCAAGGTTATTGGAGAATTGAGCGCAATTGTTTCTGTTTCCACGAATGAGAGCAGCTGCAAACAAGATGTTTGATTATAGAGGTTAAAGGGTATAATGAGAACTTGGAAAGCTGAGAACTTTCATTAGGAGATGTTTGATCATAAAGGTTAAGGGGCATGAGAACTTGGAAAGCTGTTGAATACTTCACCTGCTTAGCAACTGAAAAGAACTAAATGCCAATCTTACCCTGCCTAGCCCTTTGATACAAATGTTTCTTTTTTCTTTTTTCTTTTTTTTTTTTTTTAAAGAGACAGTCTCACCCAGTCATCCAGACTGGAGTACAGTGGCTCATTGCAGCCTTGATCTCCTGGACTCAAGTGATCCTCTTTCCTCAGCCTCCAAAATAGCTAAGACTACAGGCATGCGTCACCATGTCCAGCTAATTTGTAATTTTTTTTTTTTTTGAGATGGAGTTTTTTTATCTTGTCACCCAAGATAGAATGCAGTGGCGCCATCTCAGCTCACTCTGCCTCCCAGGTTCAAGCAATTCTCCGGCCTCAGTCAAGTAACTAGGATTACAGGCGTGCGCCACCACACCCAGCTAATTTTTGTATTTTTAATAGAAATGGGGTTTCACCATGTTGGCCAGGCTGGTCTCAAACTCCTGACCACAGGGGATCCACCTGTCTTGGCCTCTCAAAGTGCTGGGATTACAGGCAGGAGCCACCATGCCTGGTTTAAACATTTTTTATTGAGATGGGGTCTTACTATGTTGCCCAGGCTGGTCTTGAACTCTTGGTCTCAATCCAGCCTCATCTCGGCCACCCAAACTGTTGGAATTACAGGCATGAACCACCATATCCAACCTCTTTCTATACTTAGAAGAATAAAAATCGAATACTGACTCACTTTACAAGTATTTCCAGAGAGTCTGTTGTATTAAATACCTGTTCAGTTGTTCAGACTAGAGCAATGGGAAAGGAAGAGAGATTTCCTGCCTTCATCAAGTGGGGAATGGAGACAGTAAGTGCATCAAGTAGTAAAATTACTTCAGATAGTGATAAGAATTAATATTAAGAATTAATTAATATTAATAGGTTACTGACTTAAGAATTCAACTTCTTACAAAGTTTTCTTAAATTTAGCTAGAGATTTATTATTCTTCAGTGCTAAAGGCAGGCATCCCAGTGAACACAGCTGGAAAGGTTAGCTATATACTAATGGATAAATAATAGCAACATGTAACTATAACATATCTAAAATATATCCCTATTTGACAGTGGTTCTTGAGGCATGGTCCCTGGATCAGCGACACCAGCATCACCTAAGAACTTATAATAAATAATGCAAATTCTCAGGTCTCATCCAGCTTTACTGATTTAGAAACTCTGGGGGTGGGCCCTGGCATCTGTGCTGTAACCAGCTCTCCAGCTGATCCTGATGCCTGTTCCTACTTGAAAGCCACTGGCAGATGATACTGCAAAGAGAGGGAGAGAATATGCTGTCATTAGAGTTTTACCAATCTATACCAAATAACCCTTCCTCCACAGGGCAAAAAGAGCAGATGCAAATCTGGAACAAGTCCATGTAAATTGATTGGCCCCCAGGTAGCTTGCCCTTCACATGGTAGGTTTGAATTGGAATTTCACTAAGGATGATACATGGCAAATTTAGGATAAAGGAAGGCTTTCTCCGGGGCCTCACCTTTGTATCTTCAGTCAGTAGAGGGCCAATTCAGTCTGAGCTCCTAACCTCCTTTTCTGATCAGATACAGCAAGGAAGTTAAGCGTTTAAAGAGTCCTGGAGCTAAGGCAGTACCTGCATATTGGGGTTTCCTTTACCTTTTCTGTAAGTTGTACCAAAACATCTACTTAAGTTCTTTGTACCGTTCCTTCAAATGAAGAAATCTGGTACCAAAAAAAAAAAAAAAAAAAAAAAAAGTCCCGGAGCTACACTTCTGGGTCTCAAGCCATAGCTCCATCACTTACTAGATGGGTGACCTTGGATTATGAGCATCTATGAACATCTATTTCTTCATCAGTGAAATGAGAGTAATAATAGTAACTAACCCTTAAAGTGTCGCTCTGGGGATCAAAAGGGTATTTTACTGCTTGCACACAGAGATTAATAATTGTTAGCTATTATTGTTAAAATCATGCCTACTGGGTCAATACAAAACACTAGAGTTTGAAGAGACTTTACAGTGTCATACAGTGGCAATCTATCAGTACTCTGGTAATCCAATCAGCCTGAACCCTAAGTTGGGGAATAGGTCTGGACTGATTTCTCTGGGCTCCCTTCCAGCCTACTGAACTATGATAGACTTCCTCTCAGTGGGACACGCACTGCAGAGCAAAGCCCGAAAGCACTAGCTTATCACAGTGTCTGAGCAACTCTTGGTGGCCACCTTCTTGCACAGGCTCATACTGTCTTTTCTCTGCCTCCCACCCACAGGCTGGTGGCCCAGGCCTATTGGATGGCACCTGCTGTAAGAAGGCACCAGAACATCATCACACACTCCATATTGTGAGAAGATAGGATTGTGGCCGGAATATTCTTACTTCCCATCTTTTTCTTTCCACCAAAATGAAATAAATAACAGGCCAAAGCAGTGGGAATCATGACTAACAAGTGGACAAGTGACAGGGCACAGATTTAAGAGAATAACAATTCTTTAAGTGCAGGTGATATCTTGGCAGAAGTTTAAAACTGGAAGACATCATAAATGTGTTCTAGTCTTGTTTCCTCATGAAAGGTAAAGAATAGAGGTTGAGGGAGTGTAGTGACCGTCAAGAATTTCACAGTTTCAGTGAAACTGATTACCATCTGCTTCCACTTGCTGCTGACTTCTTGCTCTGTTTGAAAAGTATGATAAGCTACAGTTAACAGAAAGAACAGCTGGGTTAAAATTGAACGGTTAATAAAAGGTTTCAAAGGAATGTGGCAGTCCAAACATCATAGAGTTAATGGCAAGTTAAAGACCATCTTGGGATTTCACATGGAAATCCCATGGAAATCACTCCAGGGAAAAGGCACCGTGTGTGTACTTACCGAGCAATTTGTAGAGGAGGTTCAGAATTTCTTTCCAGGCCATGCCACTGTCTTCCCTTGCAATCCCTGCAAAGTGTGCTACGCTGTTGTAGATATTTAAGCGGTCAATGCAATTTAAGACAAGGGCCAACATTCCCTGAGAAGGAGAGTAGAGGAAAATGCAAACATTGCTGATCAGGAAAGCAGAATTCCTTTTGCTCTTTCCCCTCCGTATCATTCACCTTTTAAAGCTGATAATGCCAATATGCAAATAGACCTTCATGGTGCCAGTTGGGTTTTGTTTTTTTTTTCCCTCCTAAAAACAAAATATGCATTTTTATGCCTGAGAGACCTAAATAGCATCCATTTGGGGAGTGAGTCAGCAGCCTCTTCTGACGGGTTTGCCCCCACGTGCTTAACTCAATCCAAGGACATACTTAGGAAGAGGGAGGGTGAATGAGTTTCACAAAAACCTGCTTTCAGCCTGGTGTGAAGTGGTTCTGACTCACCCAGAAACAGCTCTAGATATAGTACCTATTTTTCTCTTAAATATCAAGTAAGTTCAAGTTCCATTCAGATGCACAAAACAACCATGCTTGCTTCCTACCTCCCCACCCCTCAAAAAAGGTGGGATTTAGAGACAATAACACTAAAAGAGGATCTTCAGTCACTTTCCTAGCTAATTTTAAGTACTATGCCACCCAGCAAAAATCTCTGTGCTAGCTGTTCTTAGAGCATAGGAGGGAGACGGTAAATGGAATTTCAGTAGCCTTTAAGGCATAGAGAATGCCCCTGGAGCCAAAGTCTGGTTAGACCAGAAGATTGAGCTGAGATAGTTCTACATCCCACAACACTGACTTTAGAAATGTCCAAGGACAAGCCCTGTGCCCAGGCATGACAGGCCCAGCAGTACAACCATGGCCTGTTGGTACTAAATCATCACTTCTGAGTTTGGAGAAGGTTTGTGACTTGTCTGTGGTCATACACAGCTGGAGATGGAGCCAGAATGAGACCTAGAATGAGGGTCTCTTAAACTCCTAGTTGCTGTTTTTCTCATGGCCAGGCCCCACTTCCAGTGTCTCAGATGTTGAATTCTGACATAAGATTTACCATCTTCTATATCTTTTAAACCAGCTTCTCAGGTATTCTTGATGGGGTAGAATCCAGACATCTATAATTTTTAAACAGGTTTCCCAGGTAATTCTAACATTTCTCCGAACTTTGGAATCACAGCCAATGTCACGCTCTCACAGCCCAAATTTATTGAAAATGGATTTCTGATACACATGTGGCACTGAAGCTTTAAAATGTAATCTGGTTTGAACGTGCCAGCCTTTGCTAATATAATCAGGTTTGGCTGACAGCGAAGATCGGCTTCCAGTTTCCCAGCTTCCAAATATCGCTCTTGTCCTCTGGCTCTCTCATAAACACGTGCATGCACAAAGACAAAGCTAAGTTGCACTCATAGGGATATTTTAGCTCTGTACACGAAGTGGATTTCAACTTTTCATTTCTCAGCTTACCTCTTCCTTGAAAAGATTTTGTCTGTTTTTGAGTGAGCGGAGCTTGTTCTGCTTGTCTTCGTGTCGCATCTCCTCCTCTGGGGGCTGGAAGTAGGCGATCAAGTCCTGTAGGGTCTGCAGGACTTCTTCTATAGGCAGGGTGATGGGGGCAGCTGTGCGATTGTTTCCGCTAAAAACCATGAGATTGACATGGGTTAGGCAGCAGCCAGCAGCTGGGCCCTGACTGAACACCCACTGGGTTCCACTCCTAACAGCCCCCATGGTGCACCATGAGCTGCTTCCTCAGGTAGTCACTATACCAGCAGCTACAAAATGAAGTTTCCCAACGAACAGAGCAACTGGAGAAAATATTCACATTCAAGTTCAAAGCTAGTTTCATAAACAAAGGGAAATGACTCCTTTTAGCACATTTATTTTCAAGCAACTTATAACTCATCCTGTTAATATTGCTGTAATATTTCAGCACCTAGCATCGGTGGCTATTCACTGAATGTCTGATAATGATTTCCCTGTAACCTAAAGAGGTAATTACAATTGTGATGTGACAGTGACTCTTCTATCTACAGCAGATGCTTCCCCTTCCATTTACCCCTAGTTGTCTGTCCCACTTTTTAAAAAATAGAAACATTAAACATAATCAAACTTATTAATCCATGAGTCTTTTAAACAATCATACTTTCTTGGAATTGATTAATCATAAGGCGGGACAAATTTCTATCGCTGGGTCTTTGTGTCTATCACCATGTTAGTTTTCTCTGTCTCTCCTTTTGCACCCCCATGTCTCTGTGTGTCCTCTGGGATCTCTGCAGATGTTTCTCATCATGTTTCTCTGTGTACACACCTGCTTTCCCTCCCTCCATTTGTTGATGGTTCCTTTCCTCTCTGTATCTGTGGTCCTTTCATCTGACCTTCCTTGTCCTGTGTTCCCTCTCTGAATATTACCCTCCCTTCTCCATGTCCCCTATGTTATAAACATCCTTATTCTCTGCCTTGAGGTCTGTCCCTCTTTGTTTCTTGGTGTTCCCCAACCCCAAGTTACCTGCTCTTCTCTCTCCCTGCTGTGTTCCTCCTATTCTGCAACTGTCTGTGTCTCTCTTTCTGTTTTAGTATCTTCCAAAGTTTTGTAATTAAATTCCTTCAACACCGAGAGAATACAAAGCACTACAGAAAACAAAAAGAGCCTTCATTTCCCTGTCTCCTTGAGGGGCACACCCGTGAGCCTCTGAGAGGGCAAAAACTATGAAGAGGAAGAGGAAATGGACCAACCTCTTGTACATTTGCAACACTAGGCCCTAAGTAATTGAGAATTGGCTGAATGTTCAAGTAACACCACGAGGACTTCTTTATTTTTTTCTAAGTTCTAGGATACATGTGCAGGATGTGCAGGTTTGTTACACAGACATGTGCCACAGCGGTTTGCTGCACCTATCAACCCCTTACCTAAGTGTTAAGCCCAGCATGCATTAGGTGTTTCCTGATGCTCTCTCTCTTCCTACGCCTCACCCCACTGACAGGCTGCAGTGTGTGTTGTTCCCCAACCTGTATCCATGTGTTCATGACAGTCAGCCCCCACTTATAAATAAGAACAGGTGGTGCTTGGTTTTCTGTTCCTGTGTTAGTTTGCTGAGGATAACGGCTTCCAGCTCCACCCATGTCCCTGCAAAGGACACGATCACGTTCCTTTTTATGGCTGCACAGTATTCCATGGTGTATATGTACCATATTTTCTTTATCCAGTCTATCACTGATGGGCATTTGGGTTGATTCCATGTCTTTGCTATTGTGTCTAGAGATTCAATGAACATATGTGTGCCTGTATATTTATAATATAATAGAATGATTTATATTCCTTTGGGTATATACCCAGTAACGGGATTGCTGGGTCAAATGGTATTTCTGGTTCTAGGTATTGCTACACTGTCTTCCATAATGGTTGAACTAATTTACATGCCCACCAATAGTTTAAAAGCATTTCTATTTCTCCACAGTCTTGTCAGCATCTGCTGTTTCTTGACTTTTTAATACTTACCACTCTGACTAGCATGAGATGGTATCTCATTGTGGTTTTGATTTGCATTTCTCTAGTGATCAGTGATGTTGAGGCTTTTTTCATATGTTTGTTGGCCACATAAATGTCTTCTTTTGAGAAGTGTCTGTTCCTTTGCTCATTTTAATAGGTTTTTTTTTTCCTTGTAGATTTGTTTAAGTCCCTTGTAGATTCTGGATATTAGGCCTTTGTCAGATGGATAGACTGCAAAAATTTTCTTCCATTCTATAGTTTGTTCACTATGATGATAGTTTCTTTTGCTGTGCAGAAGCTCTTTAGTTTAATTAGATCCCATTTGTCAATTTTGGCTTTGTTGCATTTGCTTTTGATATTTTCATCATGAAGTCTTTGCCTGTGCCTATGTCCTGAATGATATCACCTAGATTTTCTCCAAGGGTTTTTACAGTTTTGGGTTTTACATTGAAGTATTAATCCATCTTGAGTTAACTTTTGTATAAGGTCTAAGGAAAGGGTACAGTGTCAATTTTCTGCATATGGCTAGCCAGTTCTCCCAGCACCATTTATTAAAGAGGAAATCCTTTCCCTATTCCTTGTTTTTGTCAGGTTTGTAGATGTGCACTCTTGTTTCTGAGTTCTCTATTTTGTTCCATTGGTCTGTGTGCCTGTTTTTGTACCAGTACCATGCTATTTTGGTTACTGTAGACTTGTAGCATGGTTTGAAGTTGGGTAGTGTGAGGCCTCCAGCTTTGTTATTGTTTTTGTTTTTTTTTTTCTTTTTTTGGCTTAAATTGTCTTGGCTATATGGGCTTTTTGGTTCCATATGAATTTTAAGGTAGCTTTTTCTAATTCTGTGAAGTATGTCAATGGTAGCTTAATGGGAATAGCATTGACTCTATAAACTACTTTGGGCAGTAAGGCCATTTTCATGATATTGATTATTCCTATCCATGAACAGGGAATGTTTTCTATTTGTTTGTGTCATCTCTAATTTCTTTGAGCAGTGGTTTTTAGTTCTCTTTGAAGAGGTCCTTCACTTCCCTTGTTAGCTGTATTCCTAGGCATTTTACTCTCTTTGTAGCAATTATTAATGGGAATTCATTCATGATTTGGCTCTCTGCTTGTCTGTTTTTTGTGTAAAGGAATGCTTGCGATTTTTGCACATTGATTTTGTAGCCTGAGACTTTGCTTAAGTTGCTTATCAGCTTAAGCTTTCAGGCTAAGATGATGGGGTTTTCTAGATATAGGATCATGTCATTTGCAAACAGAGACAGTTCGACTTCCTCTCTTCCTATGTGAATACCCTCTATTTCTTTCTCTTGCCTGATTGCCCTGGTCAGAATTTCCAACACTATGTTGAAAAGGAGTTGTGAGAGAGGGCATCCTGTCTTGTACCAGTTTTCAAAGGGAATGCTTCCAGCTTTTGCCCATTCAGTATATATTGGCTGTGGGTTTGTCAAAATTGACTTCAATTATTTTGAGGTATATCCCATCAATACCTAGTTTATTGAAAGTTTTAACCACGAAGAATTGATGAATTTTATCAAAGACCTTTTCTGTGTCTATGGAGATAATTATGTGACTTTTGTCTTTAGTTCTGTTTATGTGATGAATGCTGTTTATCGATTTGTTTACGTTGAAACAGCCTTGCATCCCAGGGATGAAGCCAGCTTGATCATGCTGGATAAGCTTTTTTATGTGCTGCTGGATTTGGTTTGCCAGTATTTTATTAAGGATTTTCGCACGGATGCTCATCAGGGATATTGCCCTGAAGTTTTCTTTTTTTTGTTGCATCTCTGCCAGGTTTTGGTATCAGCATGATTCCGGCCTCATAAAATGAGTTAGGGAGGAGTCTCTCCTTTTCAATTGTTTGGAATAGTTTCAGAAAAAAATGGTACCAACTCCTCTTTCTACCTGGTAGAATTCTGGTAGGATTTAGCTGTAAATCCATCTTGTCCTGGCCTTTGATTTGTAGGCTATGCATTACTGCTTCAATTTCAGAACTCATTATTGGTCTATTCAGAGATTCAATTTATTCCTGGTTCAGTCTTGGGAGGGTGTATGTGTACAGGAATTTATCCATTCTTTGTAGATTTTCTAGTTTATTTGCACAGAGGTATTTATAGTATTCTCTGAGAGTTGTTTGTATTTCTCTGAGATCAGTGGCGATATTCCCTTTAACATTTTTTATTTTGTCTATTTTTCTCTCTTTTCTTCTTCATTAGTCAAGCTAGCAGTCTATTTTATTATTTTTTTCATAAAACCAGTTCCTGTATTTGTTGATTGTTTGAAGGGTTTTCTGTGTTTCTATCACCTTTAGTTCTGCTCTGATCTTGGTTATTTCTTGTCTTCTGCTAGCCTTGGCATCTGTTTGCTCTTGGTTCTCTTTTTAATTGTGATGTTATGATGTCGATGTGAGATCTTTCTAGTTTTTTTTTGATGTAGGCATTTAGTGCTATAAAATTCCCTCTTAACAGTACTTTAGCTGCATTCCAGAGATTCTGTTACATTGTCTTTTCTTTCTTATTGGTTTCAAAGGACTTCTTGATTTCTGCCTTAATTTTATTATTTACCCAGGAGTCATTCAGGAGCAGGTTGTTCAATTCCCACATATTTGTGTAATTTTGAATGAGTTTCTTAGTATTGAGTTCTAATTTGATTCCACTGTGATCTGAGAGACTGTTATTATTTCATTTCTTTTGCATTGCTGACAAGTGTTTTACTTCCAATTATGTGACTGAGTTTAGAGTAAGTTCCATGTAACCCTGAGAAGAATGCATAATTCTGTTGTTTTGGGGTGGAAAGTTCTGTAGGTATCTATCAGGTCCACTTGATCCAGAACTGATAGTCAGGTCCTGAATATCTTTGTTAATTTTCTATCTCAGTGATCCGTCTACTATTAACGGTGGGGTATTAAAGTCTCCCATTATTATTGTGTGGGAGTCTAAGTCTCTTTGTAGGTCTCCGAGAACTTGTTTTATGAATCTGGGTGCTCCTGTATTGGGTGCATATATATTTATGATAATTTAGGATAGTTAGCTCTTCTTGTTGAATTGAACTCTTTACCATTATGTAATGTTCTTCTTTGTCCTTTTTTTTTTTTTTTAATCTTAGTTGGTTTCAAGTCTGTCTTGTCAGAAACTAGGATTTTAACCCTTGCTGTT